TGTATGTCAAAAACAATGTTTTACGTGTTAAAATTAATATAAATTAATATGGTAGTAATTTATTAAATTAAAAAACCACATTCATTTCCAAAAATAATAATATAGATTATATATTACACTCCATACACAGGGTTCATGGCAGTTTTAAAAATCCATTTCCTCTGATTTTTACCTATTTTCAAGTATTTTTTCGCTGAGTTGGTACAGTGAAAAGTATATATTTTTCTTGTCAACGTTGAAAGATAATTTTGCAATTGAATCAATGTTCCCTAAACATATAGTTACTTTATAAAACCTACTATATAAAATTACTATATAAAAACGTTGTTTATAAACAACGTTTTTAAAAACTTATTTTAAACCTAACTTGCATTTTATTAAAAAAAATGTTTTTTTAGAGCGACAAAATTATGAAACTTTTTGAAAAAAACTCATACAAATAGCCATTTATGTAAAAAGACGTCTCAATTTTAAACAATCAATAGTGGGTACTTTTACCATTTTTTTAATTACTTTAATCATTTTAAAAGGTAAAGAATCATACAACTTTTTTATGTACGAAATGTCAATTGCATCCCATGCAGATATGATGGATGATTTCAAGTCAGTTAGTGAACTATATTCACTAGCCGACTTAAAATATATTTACTACCTTCAAATAAAATATTTGATAGCTGTGTCCAAGCATTCTCAATAATTTTCAGGAGATCTAGCTGGCCACTTCAATGTTTCAATTTTACTGCTGTTAAAATATTCCTCTACTAGCTTAGCTGTATGAACGCATTATCTTGCTGAAAAACAACATTTTCACCACCTACTACAAATACTTCACTTCTTAAAAAGTTTTGAACAGTTAAAAAATAATCCTTAGCCTTCATTTTTCCGTAAATAAAACGAATTTTTGATTTACCATGATACCCAATCGCACAATCATTACAACATCACTACCATTTCAAGTTGTTGCTGTATTACTGGTTCTTTACGAAAAGTGAAAAGCATTATGAATAACTCGCTGAACTGTACGTAAATTAGCAATCACGCCTGGTTCTGAGCAATTTGACGCGCAGTTAATGAAGAATTTGTAGCGGGGAGGTTGCATAAACGCGAATTGGCATATGTGCGCACTGGCATAAGTGCGAAGCGTTGAAAAAACTGGCATATGTGCGAATTGGCATTGGTGCGCCAAAAGATTTTGCAAACATTGGCATAACTGCGAATTTGCATAAGTGCAAATCGGCATAAGAACGAACTCGTGCAAAGCTGTTACAAAAACTCGAGCTAGCATAAATGCGAAGCAGTTACAAAAACTGGTCTAAGTGCAAATTGGCATAAGGGCGCCGAATAAAATTTTAAAAATTAGCCTAAATGCAAGTTAGTATTTCGCAATTATGCCAAGTCGCACATATATCAGTTCGCATTTGTGCCAATGTTTGCAAATTTATTTGGCGCACTTATGCCAATTCGCACTTTTTTTCAGTTCGCACTTGTGCCAGTTTTGGTAACTGCCTCGCACTTATGCCGATTCGCACTTGTGCCGATTCGAATTTATGCCAATGCTTGTAAATTTATTTAGCGCACTTATACCAATTCTCACTTATGGCCAGTTTGCACTTGTGCGAGTTTTTGCAACTGATTCACACTTTTGCCAGTTTGCACTTATGCCAATGTTTGCAAAATATTTTGGCGCACTTATGCCAATTCGCACTTATGCCAGTTCACACTTACGCCATTCGCACTTACGCCAATCGTACTTATGAAATTCGCTCTTATTCAGTCGTCCCCATACGAGGACTATTAACGTAGTTTTTATTCGCAGATCGGCTGCGTCCAACAGCTTTAGCCATGTAACTAACGGAGTCACAAATTTTTAATAAGTTAGAGAGTACTTTTTTCTCATCTGGACTCAACGGTGCAGCACAATCCATTAATAATTAATTTGTTATTTTATACTTAATAAAAAAAACCTAAACTAAACTTTTTGACAGTTCACAAAAGTTTACAGTTAAATTATCGTGTGTGGTGTTTACATCAAATAAATATTCTTATTTGCCTACAATTAAAAATATTTATTTATTGTAAAATTAAACTTTTTTTAAAAAAATGTGAGTTAATTTAAAAATAAATTGGTTAAAATTTAGTTGTTGTATATTAGAGTTTTATAAGTTTTATTGGTGTGTTTTATCATTAGGTTGGGCAGTATATATATATATATATATATATATATATATATATATATATATATATATATATATATATATATATATATATATATATATATATATATATATATATATATATATATATATATATATATATATATATATATATATATATATATATATATATATATATATATATTACTAACTTAATTGTTTCTTAAAAATAACAATTTAGAAAAACTCCTTTCTCCGCTGGCCACTGATACCGGGAGCAAAAGCAAAATTTTCAATACTACGCACACATTAGAAATAATGTCAATTAAGCTGTTTTAAAAATGATGACAATGACAATGTTGTGAAGAATTATCGTTTTATCTATCTTTTGGTAACATTGGAGCTAAAATTATAATTTCACCTAACAGTTAATTCCTGTTGACGTCACTCTTGCCTTCAACTGTCAAGACGAAGAGCAAGTTTTTGCACTTTTCTTTAACTGCATCTGTTTCACATTATTTATTTTTTATGTTATAGAGGAGTTCAAAATATTTCTTTTAATTTTTCATCTGTTTAAATCTTTCATTAATTTCAGTGTCTAAAGCTACAAAAAAGAAATTTTTAAAAATGGCTGACTTCACAGATTCATCTTCAAAGTAAAATCTTTCTTGGGTTGAACACATCTTCATCAGAGAACTTTAGATCGATGTAGAGGCGTCCTATAGGGGAGAGTAGGAGAGTGATAGCCCCCTTACGAAATTTATTAATCAGCATAATGGACATTGGAGTTAGCAAAATTGTATCTTTAATTGGCAGTCGGAAAATGTTTTTTTTAAGATCTTTTCTGGACGGCCCTGGATTGATATCCAGTTTTTCTGCCAGTTCCATGGCATTTATAATAAAACTATACAGCCGATTTTCCGATCTCATGTTCTCCAAAAAAGTCTCAATACTTTTAATTACTTTTAAAGCTCTCTGCAGATTAACAATTTTCAACTTAAGTGTTATGCTTACTAAATTAAATTTGAACGAGACATCATACCGTGAGACAGAATAATTTGAGCAGAATAATTGAATAATTTGTAATTTTTTTGACAATTCCTTTAGCTGTACATTTTCTAAAAGCATCAGTCTTAAAATCTTTTGATTAGGCAGCATCATAAACCTCATCAATGTGGCACCGCAAAGAATTAAGGGCGTCTATCATGCTCTCCCAACGAGTTTTACTTGGGAGATGAATAGTCAAAATGTTTAAATAATTTCTAATGTACTCCATTTAAGGGTCGATCCAGAAAAAAATTTTTATTTAAAAAGTTAACAGCTTGAGTGCAGGAAATGCACTGCATCATTGACAACAGGTTTTAGAGAATGGTTTTCTCAAGAAACAAAAAATGCTCGTTGTTCAAGGTTAAGGATCTATTTTTGTACGCCTACGTTCTTTCCTTTTATCCTTGATCTATTATAAAACCTTTGCCCTATATTTTGTAAGGTTGTTTCTTTTTTTAAAAGCTGTGTCAAATGTGTTAAAAAATTTTAAAAAAGTTTCCATTGTTTTCTTTGAAAACTGTTTCACTTGTTCTACGATAAGCTAATTCTTGATTACCAAGGAACATATGACGCACAATATAAAGAGAGGAGTTAAAACTAATGCTTTTGTTTTAAAACAAGACTTAGTACTGTATTTTTATACATTTTATTTTTTTAAGAAAAGACTAAATCCTTAAAGATGAAATTAATGTACTTTTAATGGTACTTCGTTGTAAATTAAAGTGTTTTTGTACTGAAAAAGGTATAGCTTTGACTGTTTCATCAAGAATGTCTTTTAAATCTTATGACTGAATTTTCTCCTGAAGTCTTTTGCACTAAGAGTAAAATTTTTTTTTTCTTTGTTACGGTTTAAATTATCCTTAAAAGTACATATTTTTTCATTAAATTGCGAGGAAAAAATAAAAAAAGTCTAGCATATAAACTTTGGCGCCCCTAATATGTAAACAACTCAGTACATATACACATTAAAAAAATGTACATAAGTGTATTTTTTTTAAATCGAAAATTAAAATTAAAAATATATATTATATATATGGCTTTGATAAAACGCGAAAAATCTTTTTGTTTTTGTTAACTTGCGTATAATAAAAATTCCGTTACCTAGTTTTACAACTAAAAATTAAATATAATATATACATCTGATATATACATTATTATATTAACAATTATTATATACATTATTATATTAACAAAAAGATATTTCGGAATTACTGTGATATACTACAATATATATGTTTTAAGTGTAAAACAAAACAAAAATAAATAAAAAATAAATAAGCTATAAAACACTTCTGGCATTCCAACTGAAAAACCTTTTATACTAATATCTGAATAATTAAAAAAGTTGTTTTGAGGTACAAAATTATTACTTTTTTTATTTTTAGATGTAATAGCTCTAAGAAATGTTTTAAAAATTTTTATTTTGATTTTCTCAAAACTTTCCCAGTGGACACGGACGTAATAAAGACGTCTTTTAAACGTCCTATACATTTTTTTGGACGTCTTTTGATCGTTCAAAGGACGTCTTTTTTTGGTACCCATTGGGTTAAATTTTTATTGTGCCACTGACATATTATATTTTTATATTACACAAAAATAAACTTAAATTATGTTTAAAACTTCACCTTTAAAAATTACATTTATTGCTTATAAACAATAAATCGTTTGTTTTTTCAATATCACTATTAAAACTACAAAATGTGCGCACGTACAAAATTTTATTTTTTAAAGCTGAATAAATAATTTAGACAATAAAAATCACGTTTTATTGTAAAGAAAAGCATTTTTTTTTCATTCTCTAATTGATACAGCTATCTCAATATTACTAAGTTCTAACCTGTAAGCTGGTCCAACTTTGTCTAGAACATATGCGAAATAGTAAACATTACGCAACCAACCCGTTTACAAACAATTTGTATAAATTGCATTTTAGTATCAAATCGTCACATTTGTCTTCAATTGGTTGTTAGAATGGTTTTGAGCTTATTCCTTGCGTTTGGGATTCTGTCAGTTGCAGCAGGTTATATTTTTTATTTCATTATAGACTTTATACTTATGTGATTCACGGCATGTTTCTACAAATGTATACTTTTTTTTTAACTGTTAATAATTTAACTGTTAATAATAACAACTTTATCTCTGTAGTAATATTTTATTTGATACCATTGAGAAAGTTTGTAATAAACAGAGACAATTAGTGACCTAAATCTGTTATTGGAGGGAATAAACACAAAAACTTTATTTTTTTGTTAAATCAACTTTATTTTATTTTAACAACTTATTTTATTTTTTATTGTACATTATCTAAATATTCATTTTACTTTTGTGTAAAGGATGTGGGACACCTAAGTTTCAACAAGGTAGAGTAATTGCTGGAACAACACCAATACGAGGATCATGGCCATGGCAAGTACTTATGTTAACAAACGGAAGACCAGGCTGCGGAGGAACACTCATTGCTCCAAACTGGGTACTCACCGCTGCTCATTGCGTTCATCAAACATCCGCTCAACAACATGTCTTACGGTAACTTTTCAACATTGCTCTCTTACCTTACGTTTTATTACGTAATCATCGCTTACTCCACACAGTTTTGCTGAGCATTATTTTCAAATTCACTTTTCTAAAGAGGGAATAGAAGGGAAACAAAACAGTCTTCCATATAATTATTTCTTATATAAAATATTTTTTTTAGTATTCCTTAAAATGTAGGGTTTTGCTTATTAAAGTTTTTGCTTATTGAGATTTTTTTTTCTATTTTTAAAACCTACAATAAAATAAAATTAAATAAATAATTTTCAATTTTTGAAGTTTACTCCAAAAATTAAAAATTACTTAAATCTCTTAAACATTACATTGTAATTTATTACCAATTCTTAGATTTTTTGTTTTAGCACATACTTAAAATAAAAAAATGATTTTTTTTACAGAGCTGGTGAACACAATGTAAATATTAGAGAAGGATCTGAAGAAGATATTCCAGCAGCTGCATTGTTTACTCATCACTTATACAATCCAAGAACTATGGATAACGATATTGCTTTAATAAAACTATCAAGATCCTTTAAAGCTAGTGATCATGTTTCCACTGCATGCTTACCAAGTTCTGAAGCTCCTGCAGGAACATCATGTTATATTACTGGTTAGTATTTATGGTTTTTTTTGTTGACTCTGCTTGAAATTTTTTATTTTTTTGAATTTAATTGAATTATGTTATATTATTTTTTTATGCAAAATATATGATTCTTTTTGTATGTTTTTTATAATAAAATTAGTTTAAGTTGTTTTAAGTGGAGAAAAAATGTAACGGAAAGTTTTTTTATAAATTGAGAATATTATCCCGTATATATTTTTATATTTATATATAAAAAGAGTATTTTTTTTTCAGGTTGGGGAAAAATTGCACATCCAGGACAAATGACACACCTGCTTCAACAAGGAAGAATGAATACTGTTGATAGACGCACTTGCCACAATCTTAATATAAGAAACATACCTTTCCCAATTACAAATGCCATGGTGTGCGCCGGAGATGGTGGAAGAAGTCGCATGTCTGGATGTCATGGTGACAGTGGCGGTCCATTTGTTTGTAATAGAGGTGGTAGATGGGAGGTTCACGGAGCAGTTAGCCACGGATCTAGTGACTGTCGATCAGATAAAACTTATACTGTGTTTGCAAATGTTCATTACTTTAAATCATGGATCGAGAGTACTATGAGAAGATGAATGCAATTTTAATTAATTATATTCATTATAAAGATAGTTGAATTGCTATTGTATTGTTTATATAAAACAAATAAAATATAAAAGTTATTGAAAAACATTCTTTTTACTAATTTACAACTTTAGAGGCATTTGTTTTTATTTTTGTTTTAATTCTTACTTTGTTGTTGTTTCTTACCTTTATTTACACCAAATGAATTAAGTTGTTGTTTTATTACTCAGCGAAATGAATTGAGTTGTTTTATACAACTTAGTATCTTTGTAGTCCTAATATAACTAGTTACACGAACTAAAACACACGGATTAAACTACTTCTAAAGTTTTTTTTACCGATTTTCAAAAAAAGATAAAGATGCAACAACGACTAAATTTTTCACCGAACAAAATAGGACCTTTTGGTCACTGATTTTAAAATAATAAACAATCAATCAATCGAAACATTAAATAAATAAACAATCGTAAAGTATCTTTCTACAAAATAGCATTATTGTTATTTCATTTAAATTATTTTCTTAAATAATAAATTAATTCATTATTTATTTAAAATATTTTCTATTAGTTTAGTCTGCTGCAAACCCCCGTCATACTAAGCTTTCAATAATTCAAATAATAATAAAATGTATGGCGTTCTAAGATATTTAAGATACGATTTAGATATTTGATATTTTTATTATTATATTTTTGATATTGATATTTGATCATGATATTGATAAAAAGTGGTATTAAAGATTCTTTGACATCAATATCATGTTCATGATGTAGTAACCGGTGCAACAGGCGATTGTATATTAGAATAGATTAGCTTTTTAACATATTAGGATAAATTAACTTCCTAATATATTAGGATAAGTTAACTTCATAATATGTTTGCCTTTTATATAAAGTTTTTAATATACTGGGATAAATTAACTTATTTTTGTTCATAACCTTCTTATAACTGTACCCGTCCGACACGAAATAGTAATACTCAGATAATTAGTTAACTTATTATTATTTTTTTGTTTTTTTGATTTCTTTTCTGGCGGCGTTCAAACTATTTTTCAATATTGGTTTGTAACAGGGAAAAATACTGTGGGGGGTTGAAATTAATCACGGTCCTCATTAAAGATTTTATAACACCTTGATAGCTCAGTTATCCTTAACAGCTTGGTAAACCTTTGAAATTACACAATTCACTTTGGCTTGTAATATAACACTTATAAAAGTAAAATAAAATATTTAAAATTAGTAGTAATAATGGTGCTTTGTGATAAGGTCATAAGGTCTTCTTGAAACTTCCTAAAATTGAAAATAAATAAAATTATGGTGAAAAAAAAGAAGATAAAAATATGGGCTTGCCTGGGTTATTACCAACTCAGGTTAAATCTTTTTTTAGGCATAATTTTTGACACTTAACTGTTAATTTATATATCCAATCAAAAAAATTTGTTTACTCACAAAATTACCCAGTTTGCATCAGTTTACATCAGTTTTATTAAAGTATTAGATCAAAAAATATTTTTTTATCTCTATTTTTATGTTCCCCGAGAAGACCTTGCGGTCTTATTACAGAGCACCGCAGAAGAGCATTTAAAAGTAAGTTCACGCCTCCTTCCTTACCAATGTTATAAAACCTGCCCAGAGGTAGCATTGAGCCAAGAATCTCTAGTTTCTGAGTCAAGCGCGCTAACCTCGGCTGCTAAATATTAAGACGCATTTAGTTTTATTAAAATATATATACAATTTAAAACCTTTAAATAAGGTTGTTTTTTTAGCTTTTGCTGTGTCAAACTCATTAATTAATGAATCCCTATTTAAAGCTTTGCAAAATGTTTGTCTCAATAACTAATATTTAACAAAGCTACCCAGCAAACATTAAGTAGTCGGACCGACAACGGACCCTGTCAGCACTTATACTGGGCCGACGTTGGTTGCTCGCTGTGTTGCTGCGTTGGCTTGCACAATGTGTTTACATCGGTCCGTTAGCAGCAAGCTTTAAGCGGTTCAATAGCGGATTGTTGGGGGCAAAACGCTAAATCTTCAACAACGGTCCGTCGGTGGATATTGAAGCGACAGCGTTTCGATATAGAAACTTCTATAATTCGAGCTCTAATTTCAAGGCATGAACCTTTTCAATATTATTTTTCTACATTTCTTTGAATACAGACACTTATCTTTAGCAAAACTGTTTATTATCTTTATTACATGATCTCATCCAAAACAATGCAGAAGTGACACATTTAATACTTTTTCGAATTTATTAAATAACAATACTAGCTCAAAGGAACACTTATGGTAAATCAATTAGCCTACACCTGGGCGTTTTAATTTTAAACCCGGTTAACAAATATGAATAAAGAACAATTTGAAATAATGATAAAAATTATTTCAAGATTGAGATCTACAAGTACACTTGACATATTACAATCTTATAAAATTAATTAATCTAAAACACAATCTCGTTAAATTAATGTTCTTAGCGTTTAGCGACTTTATTTTTAAAATCTTTTCAATATATAAAGAAAATTCTAAACTTTTTAGTCCTTTAGTTTCAAGTCAAATTTATTTTAATTTCACACTTCATTCGAATACTATATCCAGTAGAGAAACAATAACGTTAAACAAAAATCGCTTAACATGGCGGTCTGCAGACTTTTAGTGTAGCCCTGAAAGCAGACACTAATATATTAGTCGAAATGTAAAAATCAATTAGTTAAGAGATACTAAAATGAACATAAAAAACTAACATTCTCAATTTTTAATAACGCCTCTTGAAGGTTCTATATGTAATTGCATACATACATAAGTTGATAGCAAGGAATATTTACTGTAGAATTTTGTATTATGTTTTCAGTTTTGTATCCATCATGCACTTTTAAAATTTGTAATGCGTTAAAAGATGTGAATGTATGTGAATTATTTAATAGCAGTTCAATTAGTTTGGTTAAACATTAGTCTTTCAAGAATTTTATCAATGTTGGAGAGGAAGGAAACTGGCCTATAATTTGACGTTAATAGTTTTGCATCAGTTTTTAAAATAGGTATAACTTTGGCTGTTTTTAAGTTTTCTGGGACAATACCATTTGAAAAAGAGAGATGTAAAATGTTAGAAGAAATTCTTGAAAACTCCGTTTTGAATAATTTTAGAATTTTAGCGTCAAAAGAAAAAGTTGATAATTTTTGAAATTTCATGTTTGTCAGTAGGTTTTATAGAGAAAGATTTTTGAGAAGGATTTGAATCCAGGCAACAACTTCTTCATCCATGAATCATTTCGCATTTTTTTTTTTGAAAAAAAAATGCTAAATGATTCATCCCAGCAAACAAAAAGATATCTAAAATGCATCTAATATGCATTTAAAAACTGGTCTAAAAGATGTCTAAATTCAGGTCTAGAACGGGACATAAATAATCTATCTTATAGACGTCTTTTAGATGCATTTTATTCGACACAAATAATTGCCTTAAATGCATAAATAATGTGAAATATACATCTTACAGATGAATATTAGATGTATAAAATACGTCTCTTAAATAGATATCTAAGGCGCGTTTAAAAAAGATAGATAATAGAAATTTTTTTAGCTAATAATAGCTCTTTTATGCATCTTATATACATCTAATATACATCTTTAAATGTATATTTCACATCTTTTATGCATCGAAGGCATTTATTTGTGTCGAATAAAATGCATCTAAAAGACATCTATAAGATAGACATCTATTTATGTCCCGTTCACGACGTGAATTTAGACGTCTTTTAGACCAGTTTAAAGATGCATATTAGATGCATTTTAGATATTTTTTTGTTTGTTGGGACTTGTTTGATACAAAGGTGTTACAGCAGTTAAATTAGTCATAAAAAAAGATTAAATTAAATAAGTAAAGAAACATTTTAACTAACATTATTTAATTTTTATTTCAAAAAAATATACATAAGAAACTATATTTCTGCGTTGCCGTCAACATTTTCTTCCACGTCGCCGATATCTAAAATATATACATTAATGACATTTAAATGACTTTAAAAGACATGTAGAATTCTGAATCTAATTTTATGAAATATAATATATATATATATATATATATATATATATATATATATATATATATATATATATATATATATATATATATATATATATATATATATATATATATATATACAGAATGTATACTTATTTTCTGACCCCCTATATCTCAGTTTAAGAATACGGTATTTCAACACATAACCATTTTATTACTGTCATATCAATTTAATTAGACAAAGAATATATACTGATTACTGACTATTAACATAGTCAGTAATCAGTATTTTGTCCATTTCTTTCTATGCATTGGGTAATTCTCCTTGGCAGGCTTTCTACTAGGCGAAAACACTCTTCTTGCCTAATGGCAGCCCACTCCTGTTTAACACGTCTGATCAACTGTTCACGATTACGAGGTTGAGGATTGTGTAAAACACTGTCCTGCAGTCTTGACCAAATATGTTCGATGACATTCGGGTCG